GATGCGGACCAAACATTTGGCCCTTGGTGGAGCTAGTCCGCGACGCGGATATGCTCCCTCCATGAGCAACTTCAAGCTGCCTTGGCAGCTTGCTTTGCCAAGGTTGGGGTCCTCCTCGGTGACCCTTAGGGTGGCCCCCGGGGAGTCGTATCCAAAAGTTTTGATCCTAAAAACATTTATTAAGACACTTAGGTCACCTCCACTGATTTTAGACTACAAACAACACATAAAAACACGAACAACATACTAGAACACACCAACACGTAAAAGATTAGTTTCCGAACGTCTTGGTCGTCCCTTGACGTTTGACTTCCAAACTCTTTAAAACTGACTTAAAAGGCTATTATTCATTATTTTAACAAGTTATTAATGCATAAAACTCATGTGAGGCTCTACTTTATCCTACTTCATTTTGAGGGTCGTTACACTTGCTATCCAGCACCATCTCCTTATCCCACAGCCTCGCCTCCTTCACCATATTATCCACCATCTACCTTATCCCAAAGTCCCACCCCCTTCAGCAGCATATCATCCAGCATCTCCTTATCCCCCTCAATTGGCTGCTTATATACACCTTACTCATAAGCTTCAAAATATTTGCCTCAGCCATATCCACCACAGGATTACATTTATCCTCCAGGTAAATAATCTTGTAAGATATGAGTTTCCTACTCTCCCTGGCATGCAAAGTAGGGTTAACTTTATCCCTCTGTTGTCTTGCCAGGTCAATACCACGTAGCCTATCCTCCGTTATCGCATTGATGTTATGTTCTTCAATGATTGGACAAAGATTGTGCACAAACAAGTTCTCGTTGAGTGCTCTTTTAGTAGTGTGGTGTTATATCTTTGTCTGGTATCGAAATTTCAGGACTTCTCTATGACATGTTTGTGATTGCTATGCTGAAATTATTTAATATATGTAGAATCTGGAAATTATTTAAACGAAGCTTATGTTTTGTGTCTGTACTATATAGGAGTATTCCCCAGCGAAATGTACACAATCTTTTTATCAGATAGGCTCCACCTGCTTTTGTATATGCCTCATAGCCAAATGTGGAATCACAGGACAATCATTCTTTTTTACATGGAACACTTCAGATTGTACCTTTGCGATTTCTAATCATGGTAGAATTGTTGAACAAAACATATAAGTATATATTTTTGGGAATCCTACCTCTTGGCAACTGAATTTGAATTAATCAAATAAGGTTTTTATTTTCTTGAAATTCTATTGGGAAGTAACTTGTCAGGTAGTTTGATTGGTCGAGAAGAACTTCAAATGCTATAAACTTCTCTTGGATGCTCGTAGAAGTACTTCTGCCGGATGAGTACTAATTTTGCCATTCTCAACTTCTGTTTTACTTAGAGCAAAACATATAAAAAATTAAGTGCATAAAGAAATAAGGCAAGGACTCGAGTGTCAACACATATTGTGATATCAAAACTAGAATACTAATTAGACTTAGGCCATACGTCGGTTATTTTACTAAGGACGGTCAGCTCAACACCGATACTAGAAAATGAACTAGAATTTCTAAGCACGTAAGAAATTAGAGAATCTATTAGAAATAAGGCATATTCAAAGAAGCTATAAATTAACACAAGAAATAGCATAGATGAAAAACATAAAGTACCAAAATGTGGTATAGATGTATTTTCACCAAAGCTTGGAAATGGATAAGTGTGACTAAATCAACCTAGTTGGATTTTATGTTTGATAGCGGTCACGTTATATTTCTTAACGGAGGGGTAATTTGAGCTATTATTAATTCTGTTGATTGATGGCTTCAATAAAATACTTATAAGACATTATTATTCTGAGTATAGAATCCTTCTCTTTTTCCACCATGTAAGCCTGACGATCTAAATATCTTCTAATTATCTTAGACAAATCTCTTTCTGAGCGAGAATAATATGACAGATTTCTCCAATTTTGCAAGGATCGGCTTTGTTGATTGTCTGCCAAATATGTCCTTAAAAGACTATTGATAGAATCACGATCACTCACATAGAGCACAATAAAACCAGTCAAATAGGTAGGCAGGTTACCCAAAGTTTAATAACACTAATTAAATAACAAATAAATAAAAAACTTAAATATATTTGAGTTCTTGAAAAAAAACACAATTAGTACCTGAAAATAATGTATAATAAGTTCAAGTGATTGACACTGACATAATGTATATCTCCTATTTCATTTGGAAGTTAAAGTTCATTATATTTGGAGAATTCAATAACTTGTATTACTTTTTATTTTATTTTTTCCTTTAAAGTCACTGGTTGATACTTGAAACTTAAAAGAAAAGTTCAAAGGCGCCGACATAATATTATATCATGAGAATAATTTAGGTGGAGAAATTTTTGCGTATTTTTTTTCTATGCCAAAATAAAATGTGCCCAATTCAATTAGAATTTGACACACTATATAGTCTAGCTATTTGTATTCCTCTTCCACAAATGCGATGTACTATAGGAAAACAACATCTCATTCTTGTTTTGGTCTCTAAGAACTATGTTACCATTACAAGAAGGTGCCCAAGTATCTGGAGAACTATCAATAAAAACCCAACACATGCTTTGTGGCGGAGTCGCAGAATCAAAGTTAAAAGAACAATTTTTCTTTTTTTTCTTTTTCAAGCCACTCTTCTTCTATTTTTTTTCCTCAGATGTTATAGCAGCATCACCATTAATGTTATTTTTTGCCTTCTTGTGCTTGCCACCATCTTTCAGGAAATAATCGACCTCATTCTTTCACCTGAATTTAACCCCAAACATCGGTTTAATATAGTATCTATCAACAATAACTGTAGTGGCTCCAGTGGTACGAATTTTTGTTTCATACCTTCAATTCTCTGGCAACCACTTCGACCTATCTAGATTCACTAGATGCATAGGCGTAATTTTCCTCTGAATCTGTAACTTACTCGGAGTTACGTCGGACACCTTTTCTTCATTATTTACATCACCTTTGTTTGGTGTGGTGTTCTCTACCCTAACATCCAACACAACATCAATGTAGGTTCCCGACGGCAACAACGGGTCTGAAGGTATACCATCATTGCAAAAGTCGTTGGTGGTAACAATTATCGGTGGTATGGAAGAAACAGCGGAGTCAACCTTAGTCATTGGAGGAAGCTTTGAAAGAGTCAATGTGGAGAAAAAGTCCTAGGAATAATGGAACTTTTTCTCCACATTGACTCTTTCAAAGCTTCGTCTAATGACTAAGGCCGACGCCGCTATCTCTTCCATCCCACGGATAATTGTTACCAACGACTACTTCTGCAATGATGGTATACCTGCGGACCTATTGTTGCTATCGGGAACCTACATTGATGTTGAGTTGGATGTTAGGGTAGAGATCACCACACCAAACAAAGGTGATGTATCTATTGAAGGAAAGGTGTCCGATGTAATTCCGACTAAGTTGCGGATTCAGAGGAAGATTACACCTATGCGTCGGGTGAATCAAGAATGGCCAAAGTGGTTGCGAGAGAATTGGAGGTTTGAATCAAAAGCTTGTTTCACTGGAGCCACGACAGAAATTTCTGATAGATACTATATTGAACTGGTGTCCGGTGATAAATTAAGGTCAGAGAATGAGGTTGATTATCTCATTAAAATACGTGGCAAGCACAAGACGGAAAAAACTAACATTAACTTTGTTGTTGCTACACCATCTGAGGAAAAAAAAACCAGAAGAAGAGAGGCTTGAAAAAGGAAAAAAAGAAAAGTAGTTCTTTTAATATAGATTTTGTGACTCCTGCACAGAGCATGTGTTGGGTTTTTATGGATAGTTGTGCAGTACCTTCTTGTAATGGTAACATAGTTTTGGAGACCAAAACAAGAATGGGATGTTGTCTTCTTAGAGTACATAACATTTTTTTTAGGTTTTTGTTTTATGTACTAAGTTTGTGTTATTAAAAGGAGGTCTGCTAAGTAGATATATAGCAAAGAGGCTATTTATAGACTCCAGTTTTAATCTGTTGGTGTTGAGAGGATAATTTTGTAGAGAGTCTCCTCTGTTTTAGGGAATCACAACAAAATGTTTTACTGGAGCCTGAGTTAAACTAGGATCTCAGTCCAAATATTTATTATCACCACATTTCTTGACCATAAGTAGGTGAATAACTGAAAGATAAATAGGGGCCGACAAAAAAAGAAGAAAAAATTAAGGGTAGGGAATTATAATATGGGGAAGTGAATCCTTACCAATATGGCAATACGGTGAAAGTTTAGATCCACAACTTGTACTTCTTAAGAATTTTTAGAAGTATAATTTGAAGAAATGGTCCTGATTGATTGATGTATGGACCTGGAAATTAAATTGAGGATATTCTGAAAATGCCCAAGATAAAATAAGAAGAAGATTCATAGGTCACACTTCTAAATAAATAAATAAATAAATAGGATTACACATGTGACTTTCAATTAATTTGACTTCTGTGCAGAAATCAAACTCAAAATAACAATATTAAATAATGAAAATAAGATAGACAAAATAGGATAAATTTCTTCTTTGGAAAAATACCATATACAAGCCTTTGAACTAGTAGGTGAAGTATAGATCATTTTTGGATCATAATATCAACCCGTATATACCTTATTACAGTTGAAGTGTAGATGTCGTTGGTATGATCTAAACCAAGCACATGAAAAGGTATCGACTGTATTAATTATCTATATATTTTGACCAACAGTGATAATAGTCAATTATCCATGTTTTACAACAATAACAATGTACATATTGCTACTTTTCCGATGTCAACATCTGATTTTTCGACAATTCTTTAAGGTGTCATTTGGTAAAGTGTATATCTAAGTAAGCTTGTTATTAGTTATATGTTTGATTAGTTATACATAGGTTATTTATTATGCATTGTTTGATTTTGGGCATTAAAAATAGCATGCATGAGGAAAATTCACAATTTTAGTGGGGAAAAATGTAAAAATCAATGTTTTGGGGAAAATTACATTCTAATGCATAAGTTAAAATCATTGTATTACAAATACCATAAATTTCCATATATGAATAATACACATCTTAATACACAACAAGTGGACTCAATAATAAACATTCATACACAGTGTACAAAGTGTATGTAACACCCCAGAAAAATTTTCGAACTAAGACTCGAACCGTTCTTCGTAGTGAGTGAGATTTTACCAAGGAATTAAAAATTTCTTGAGTGTTAAGGTCACTAGATGTAACACCTTGAGTTTCAAAAAGAATTAAATTGGAAATAGCAAAATCTGAAATTTTGCAAGTTATGCTTAAGTATGAGTTTTGGGTCGACTTCAAACGACCATAACTTCTAGATCAAGATAAGTTAGGTGTGATACCAGATACCGTAGGAAATAACTTTAAATTATCTTTCCAACGCCGCCGAGTTTGCTAAGTTTAGAGGTCGGATAAGTGAGATATGGCCTTTTTAAATTAGGCTGTCCAGTTAAGGAAAGTCAAAACCGGGTTTTAGAGGGGTATTTTGGTCTTTTCCTTACCAAAAACAGATTTAATTCGTTTTTAGTAATATTTTAAGGGTATAATTTGATTAGGTTCAGTTTAATAATCCTAGTTTACGCCTAGGGTTTTAGTTGAGAGTTCAAGAACAAAAAAGAAGAGAGAAGAGGAGAAAAGAGGAAAGGATGAAGGCGTTCGTCGACGTCCTTGAGAGTTATTGCGGATTGTCGCCATGGGTTTGATCCTAAGAGGTATGTAAGCTTCCATAGTGTTGGGTTCTTTCACCCACACCCACACGCCAAT